AAAAAAAAATCCATGTACAGTAAAGTCAAAGCAGCAAGAATGCGATTTTAATATAAGCTATTGCCAGTATGATATGAAATTAATTTTTTGTTGTTATATTAGGTGCCAAAGAATCCAAGGTCTTGGCCAGAGCCTGTTTGGTTCATGTTTTTTTCCTTTTACAAAATCTGAAAAGAAGATGTTGTGCTATTGCTATTAGAATAGCAGAGGGAAAAAGGAGAGTAACAAGTGATTTAAGATGTTCTGTAGGCCAGTCCTCAGGATTTCTCACTTACAGGGACCAGTATGTTTATTCTTAGATTTCTGATTAATTATAATCATACTAGAGTTACATTCCACATCTTTCAGAAAGTAAGCTATCAACGGGAAAGTGTGTGTGTGTACAGGCATTTTGCTGCTATTAGTGTCTGAGCACTTCAATTTACCACGCCATGGTTATATTCTCAGCGGTGCTGAGAGTCAGAGATGCAGTTGTTAGTATTGCAAAGACAGAGATTAAGGGCCCAACAGTCAGGGCTAGCAGTTGGCTAATGTGGAACAAAAATTTGCATTCAAGGAAAAATGAAGCTGTAAGAGCTTTTGGCCCTTTGAATGCAGCACTAAATTATAAAAAGAGGACAGGGAGACTGTCATTAAACCCATGGCTCTTTCTCATGAGGCAAGATCTTTCACCAGCCTCTTACTTAAATCTCCATCCACTCTCTTTCTCCAGCTCTGGCTTGAAAGGAGAAGTGGTGCTGTCTCCTTTCCCAAGTCCTCTGGAAGTGATGTGGTGCGTTAGTTGTCCTGGGATGCGGTAGTGGTGGATGGAGGCAGAAGTTTGTTCTGGGATGAGATGTTGAAGGCTTTGTGCTAGCGAAGCCAGATGACACTAAGAGACTGATTGCTGAGCCTCTGCAGAGAAATGTCCTAGCAGACTTAAATGCATCTTAAATGTGTGCCTGGAAATGAATGTGCTGTGGAGGAGACTTGAACATCTGGTCACTTCATTCTAGTATTTCTTAATTTATAAGGATATGAAAATTTGAACATGATATTCAAGATAAAGTTACCAATCTGATAAGATTGGTTCCCCATGAATGAGCATTGTTCTCGTGAATATGGGATGGAACTATTACTATATCAGCTGTGCCTGTAGCTCATTATCAATGTATATTTCTGAGCTGGAAATCTACTTCACTTCAGACTTTAAACTTGTACAAGTATCCCAAACTCCGTGCTACTGCCTGTCTCAGAAAGCTGCAGAAGTGCGACATATCCAGGAGAGACTGTTCTCAAAAATATTCTGCATGTGCAGTTTAGGAAGCAGCTGACTTTTAGTGTCAAAACCTTTGGTGGACCGATGGGTTTGTGTGTTGCACTCCTGGCATGTGGAAGTGCTTCCTGGGGTGCCCTTTATCTGGGAGAGCAGAGTTAGAAAAGGGACAGCCTGTCTTCAAGGTACTGACCAGCCCTTGCAGCTGTGGTGGGAAAGCCTTTCCCAGTCTGGGTGGGACCTGAAAACAAACAAGGCTGGTGCAGGAAGGAATTTCTAATTGTAAAGCCATGGCTGTGTTAATGAACCTTAGCAGCACTAACTTGTGGTCCTGAAAGGAAACATCCACCCCATGTTGTCTTCTTGTCTTTAAAGAGCAGGCCAAATGTTTGTACTCAGCTTCTGTTTAAACCTCTGCTGCTGGCCGCCTCCCGGCTGAGCTGTAGGCTGTGGCTTCTGTAGGGCAAAATTGGTGCGGTGGAGGCAGCACCCCAGTCTTGACCGAAGGCAGTAGGACCTCACAGCTTATATGAGGCAGATGCTTGCTGTAGAAGGAAATCCTTTAAGGAGAAGGGCCCACAGCACGCGTGTTTGGCTCAGAAACTCTCCTGACCCTGAGTGTTCTTGGAGATGAGTCTTTTTTGGAAAGTGTTGCATGATTTTCTATTTAAGTTGCCACTTTGTGCCGTACTTGCTGGTGCGCTGTGTGGCTGGCCAGGAGGGCCAGCCAGGGAGGAGGCTTTTGGGTCAGTCGGTTTGGTCTGAAGAATGGCACTTCTGTTAGCAGGGCAGGAATGCACGGCCCTCCTCCTTCTTTGCCCCATGACAAAAGCACAGCAAACTCAAGGAGAGAATTCTGCTAATCAGAATAGCCAATTGGGGAATCATTAGCTCAGATTTTAAACACTATTTGTAATTTGCTTTAGGGTCTGTAGCCTAATTCTTTCCTTTGAGTTAATTAAAATATGTTTCAATGTGACAGACATTTCCAAATCTCCCTGCAATCCAGGAGGAAGGGTAGTTTTTTTTTTTTTGTCATCCTCCATCAAGTACAGAGGCTCGGAGTGCAGAAGAATTTCACTACAATGCTGCAAGGTTGTTTACCTTAGCTCCTTCACAAAAGATAATCCAACAAATTACATTAATTATAAACCAATATGTTCTGTTCAATTCCCACATGAGCCAAACCTGGGTATGAGCATCTGCTCTTATTTTCTGAGCTGGGTTTTGAGGACAAGACTCACAACAATGCTCAATCCATAATTAACAGAAAAATTAAAGATGCAACATCCCTTGCATCCTGCTTTTTGAAGCAGCATGTTTAAAAATATACATGCACTGTCCTGGCAGTTTTTATTCAACATAAAAAAAAAAAAACAATACTCTATTGTTACCCCTGGTGTGTTTTTGTTTGTTTAAAATATTTACATTTATGTTAAGCTTAAAATAAACATGTAAATACTTTCCATAAGAAAAAAAAAATCATAATTCCCTCTTGTGCCACATTTTTTCTTTTCAATTGTTTCTCTCCCTCCCCCCAAAGATGACCTCTTTTCATAAAATGTGGTTTATTCTGCATTAAGCATATTGTTTTCTTTATGAAAAAAGGACTGGTTGGGCTTCTTCTTATTTTATTTTTTTAAGTGGCATATTTTTTCAGTTTCATTTCATAACAGGAAACAAAAGAGAACGTGATTGTTTGACCTGGTTACCAAAGAAATATTTGGCTAATAAAAATCACATTAGTGTGATGCCAAGTTCTGCTAGCTGTTTATGGTAAGCATGCCTATACAATTATACTCCATTTGCATGTCGAAGGAGTGGAGGAAAGAGTGCTTTTGTGGTTTAGGCACTAGACTGGCACTCAAGATAAGAAATCGGTTCCCAGCTGCACAGCAGACTGACTTTGAGCAGACTGCAAATTTCTGTGGCTTACTTTTGTGAAAGGGATTAATAATGCTGCTTTTCTTCTGCCTTCCATCTTGTTTCTGTAGGAGCCAAACCCTTGAGGGCTGCTTGCCCCCGCCGCCAGCACCGGGCCCGTTGTGGCCGCTGCTCCGCATCTGAAGGGGATGGCTGTGTTGCCTGCCCCTCAGGCTGCCCCAGGAGCAGGGCTGAAGTTGTAGCTAACCACCATCTAGATTTATTAATCCGTGTTCGACAGAGCTCACACAACATAAATGGAATAAGTGATTATCTGGTTGCTACGATCTGTTCCCAAATCTGTGGAGGAGGTGCTGTGTTTCTTGCTAATGAAGGTCTTGGTGCCTCCCACCCGGTGGGTTTGCCCATATGTGTGGTGGTGCTGGGGTCCCCTGGCTGGCAGCTGCTGGGGGTGGCCTCTTGGGTTGTCCCCCCTACCCAGAGGTGTCCTCCTTGCCTGGGCCTTGCTGGGGACCCCGTGCTACTGTGGTAGGGTCGCTGCCCTGCTGCAGTCCCACTGCTCACACCTTGTACTGCCATGCCATGCGCCAGCCTCTGTAGGCTTGCTGGGTTCCCTGCATTTCCACAAGCCTTGTTTTAATGAATGAATAATTGACAAGAAAACAATAGAAAATGATTAACTTCAGGGAAAAAAATAAATACGTAAAAGCTTAACGTGTTTGGAAGTGTTTGTTCTGTGAAGGGAGAAGGAGAGGCTATTTCTTTGAAAGCCAAGACATGCAGCCATTGGAAGTTGAGATGTCGCCTCTGCTCCCTGAGCGTTTTTGCTCCCCTGGGACTTGCAGCATGGCTTCAGCTGTGAACACGCTGCAGAAAGCAGGATGTGGTGAGCCAGAGGCTCCTTGGACTCCCTGCTTGGCAGCGCAATGGGAGCTGGTGGGGCAGTCCAAGGAAAGACTGCAGGAGCTGTTCTGCAGTGACTGCATAGTGCAGAGGGGATTTTTCTTGTCTAGCTGTGCTTGTAGGAAAGGTCCTGAAGACTGGCTTCAGTGTTCAGGAACATCAGCTCCTGCTAACCCCTCAGATCCTCCAGGCTTGTTATTCTGATAGTCTTGTCCCACATGCCGCCCATACACAAGGCTCACTAAGGCTGTCCTAAGGGTCCTGGCTGTGGGGCTGGTTCTTTGGCTGTGATTCCCTTTAGATGAGATCTCTGTCTTCCTGGGCTGTGAACGGGTGTCTATAATGTCCTCGGTGAGAGAAACTTTCAGACAAAGGCATATCTCAACCTTCCTCCAAATGTAAAAAATAACAGCTCTTGGTCTCTCTCACGTCTCTGATTGTTTCTCCTCCCACTGAAACTGTGCTCCTTGAGTTCTGGGACAGAGGATGCCAAAACCTCTTCCTCTGCTGGGAGCGTGAAGTTTTCAGCTGCACATTTTATAGCACACACTTGAGGGAAAAGCCTTCTGCCTTCAGTGCTGCTCTTGGGAGGGGGAAGATGTGTGTTCCCTGCACAGCAAAGGCATGTGCTGTGCAGCATCCCAGGCTTGGTAGGGCTCCGAAAATGACTTCAGAATGGCACAGTGTGAACGCTGCATGCCCGATGTGTGATATTAAAACACTTAGAACTGGATCAAATCAAACCCAGTTTTCACCACAAATGCGCAGAGGCTGTTCTTGTTTGAAGACGCTTTTCTTGCCAAATTCCATCTTTCCACACTGAGCTGCTTTTTTTTATTTTTTTTTTTTTTAAAAAAAAAAAACACCCAACCAACCACCCAACCCTTGTGTATGTATATATTTATGTAGCTGAATGTTTTTTGATCACATTTTATACAAAAATATTGCCTTTTGGCAGGGAGTCGGCTAGTAGGTGTTGGATCCAGAACGTATCGTAAAATTACAAGTGACTGCAAATGACATTTACACCCCGTAAATCTGGTAAGGAAGTGTTAAGGTCGAAAAATCAAGGCCTTCAAAGCTGGGAAATGATGGAATTAATAATTGAATTGAGCTCTCTGTGTGTCTGCACATGTATGTGTATTTATAGACTCGGTTACAGGACTGCAGATTTTTCCCTGGCACCTGCCTGTCACAGCGTGTAGGTGGTTCCCCAGCCTTCCTGCGCCACGTGTTGGTTTCACCACGGAAGCCCCAGAGTTATCCTTATCTGTCTGTGCTGGGGGTGGTCCAGCTCCCAAGTCAGGAGCACCCAACGTGGAGACTGGAGCAGCAGGCCCTGTGAAATGGATGCCCAGCCTTCGCGATGGATCATTGCAGGGACCTGGGGCCATGGTCTCACCTGGTGCTCTTGCCCATCCCCTAGTCCCACAAGGCAGGGTGGCAGGAGCTGGTAAATACAGAGCTGTGAACCCATGGTAATGGGGGAGCATGGACACAGGGTGTGAATGTGTCTAAGTTGTGTTCCTGTGTGACCTGCAGACGTTTCTGGAAAGTCTGCAGCTTGGATAAATAAACCTGACTGCATTTCCTGTGAGTGCATATGCCCCAAGGGAGAATGCACTAGGTTTTCTCTGAGAAAAGCTGCAAGAATCACCCAGATTTATGGAAAATTAGGGTGGCACCTGCACCTGTGCTCTGATCCCATAACAAGAGCCCTTAGTCTGTCTTTGAAAGGCATCTTTGCTGTTCAAAAACCTCCAAAGAAAGGGGTTTCTTAGCTGGCCATAGAAGTTCCAGTAAAGAACTACCTTTTACATTTTTTCCTTCTTTCTGGTCATAATGAGAGTGACATTTGTGGTGTATCAAGGCAATTTCTTTCTGTGCTATACCTAATATTGCTGGAGAGCAATTGCTCAATGTCTTTTTCATAACCTCTTTTGGAAGAGCGTTATCGTGTAATCTGGTGTTTCTAAACAAAAGTTTACAATAAAAGCTGTCACTTGGAGCAAAGACTCAGAAAGCAAAGGCATGTCTGCATGTTATTTCATTGGTTCTGCATTGCAGAACCTTCTGGAACCGACCACAGCTTGAAACGAAAATCTTATGAAGCATTTTTATGTTATTGGATTTTGGAGTTATTTTCAGTTTGGGGGATATTAGGTTTCTGCATATTATAGTTGGCTTAAGCTTTTTTGTTTGATTGAGGTTTCCTCCTCTTAGGATAATTTTTTTAAATGGACTTTTTTTTAATTTCTAGTTTAAAGCAATGTGTTCACTACACTTGGAACCTTATTTTGGAGTCACTTCACTTACTGAAGGATTAAATGGTGTTTCTGCACGTGTGAGGAGTTTAACAAAATTGAGTGATACTTATTGAGTGATCTTGTTTTTATTTATTTACAAAGCACACCAGGATATTACTCACTCTGGCTCAAGTCTGATTTTTTTTTAATCAGAGGTCCTGGCCTGAGCAAGGGACCAAAAGAAGGACAAGTTTAGTAAGAACATCATTAACGACTGTTATGATAAACTAGTAAAGTAAATGAAAACTGAGCAAAGTGGAGGAAAACAGAAAGAGGATGGGGGAAGCCAAGCCTTCTCACCGAGGCAAGAGGGAAGGTGATGCTGACATGGCAGCGGTGCCACCGCCTGCTCCGTGGCGTTCACCCTGTGCTGTGGGAATTCAGTCCTCCTGCAGAGGCCCAAGCTAGGAAACAATTTGTCTGGGTGGGTTTCTAAGCGTGAGCAAATACAGGAGCAATGTTTCTGGTTCCTGTGAGCTTTGAGATGATGCTTTCCTCATGTGCGGGCGGTAACTTCCTTGTGGAGCCAGGCTGGCAGCCCTGGCATTGCGGTGTGCCCCTCGCAGAAGCTTCACCAGGCTTTTGCAGTGAGCATACCACCCCCCAGCCTGTCAGTTCCGTCCTCAGAGCCTCTGCCAAGACATAAGCTGAGACCAGATTTATTAAATCTGAATGGATGGATGTGTAGATGCAAAACTGGCTGCCTGTGAAGCCAAGCTGCCTCTGATAATTGTCCGAGAGCATGCAGCTACCTCTCGGTGGTGGCTGCACGGCTGCATGATCTGCAGCTCATGGGAACGGCCATGTGGACGTATGTCAGGGCAGCGTGGAGTTTGTTCTGGGTTATGTCTCAAGGCTTGGGAGGGTTTCACATATAACGCATGCCACACTCCCTTCAGGTGCCTGTAGCGAGCAGCTCAGCAGATGGAAAAGGTTCTGACTTGGGTGAAGGCATTTGTCGTACCTAACTTAGGCATCTAAGCTGAGCACTCCAGCTCAGGTATGGACACAGCAGAGAGCTTCCTTTTTGCTACCAGCTCCTCCAGGAGGAGCTGGGCTGACTGGATGTGATGTCCATGCGGGGAGGCTGGCAGCTGTGGTACTGATGGCAGTGCCAGCAGGGAAGTGGCACCAGTATTCCCCTGAGCTCAAAACTGCCCACCTAGATCCTTGTGGACCTAAGCCTAAGATTCTCCATGGGGTATCTTTTTGCTGTTGACGGGCACTTCTGGAGACTGATGTTTGCTTTAGGCACACTTGGGCTTTTTATCACTGTAAACTATCCTGTGTCCCTTTTATTGCATTCAGAAAAATTAGCCTATTATAAAACAGCTGGCTGCTTTGAGGGCGTGCAAATATGTGTCTGACAGTGCATGCTTTTACTTTTTAATGAACTATTTCCCCTGGCTTCATCTTACTTCCACAGTCTATTTTTGTTGTTATAATGACACTGGTCAGTGAAGCTCAGAGGAAATCAGTCATCAAGATGCATGGTGCTGAAGCAGTATTTCTTCTGTGGTGGGGATTGCATTAATGCCTTTGGAGATTTCTTGCTGTTGTCACTGCTGCATCCACACCATAATGCAGAACTACTTAAACTGAACCAAGAGGCAAAATTCGGAGCTATGTAACTAAGTTACCGAAGAAAAATTTCTTGGGACATTAATTTTAACTCATGTTAGAACAGTCAAAGTGACCCCTAATACGTTCTGTGGGGATGCCTGGCATCTGTTATCTCAAGTGCAGAGGATTTTCTTCTTCCATTTCCTCACTAGCAAAACTGTCTTGGAGTCCTGGAGTCTTTTGAAAACACGGAAACTGCAATGATGAGGCTTTGGAAATTAAAGTTCTTTAGTTAGGTCAGAGTCGGTAAGAGGTCCTCCTATATCAGATATCTAGTCTCTTTTTTGAGCAGCTGTTTCAAAGCTTCTGTTTTTCCCTGTCCTTCTCCTGTAGCTTCCCCTTTTCTACCCTGTCCTTCAATGTGCTTCTCCTAGCATATCACCGTTCAGGTGTATGTAAACCCGGTCTATGAACTGTAGCTCTGCAAAGATAGGCAGGGAAAATACTCCTCGTTATCTTTCTGCAAGTTCCCTCAGCTCTTTTATCCCTATGATGTTTTGGGGATATTCCTCTTGCTTACTCTGCCCTCATGTGCTTAATCTCTTATCCCAGCTTGGCTCCTTCATGTCTTTGCAGAGACCTGAACACAAGCTCAGCCTTTTTGAGGGAGGAAATACGAACAAGCCCGAAGCATTTTACTAACTCTTTTGCTCAGTAGCCCTAGTGGCCTTTGGCTCCCACCAGTTTTTGCATGTGTGGATAGGATAGCTCAGTGTTCATGCTTCTGTATGCAGCCCCTAAATGTAGTGAATCTAATTCTTCTTGAGCCTTCCCTTCAGAGGTTCTATCTCAGCAATGTATGGCCTGGAAGCATACGAGCAAAGCCCACTCTGCTTGTTCTTTGGAATAACCTTCTCTGCTGCTTATTCACCGTTGTTGAGTAGTTTTGTGTGTGTGTTGATTGATTCACACAGTGGGTATGTTCAGACAGCAGGGTAAAAAAGTGAGTAGACATGTGGCCTGAACGCGTGTTAGGGTGGACACCACGAGTACAATTAGTCTTTAAAAACTCATGAAATAAAACTGGTATTTGAAAATGCTTCTTTCATTGAGAGAACTGGCTCCTTTCAAGAAATAACAGCAAGAACCAGTGATGTTTGAGACTGCAAGTAGGCAGTGCTACTCCTTTTTTCCCCTCATTTTTTTCAGAGTTGATCATATTTTTACCTGAAACCAAATTCATCAGCTTCAGATGTCTTGTTAACATAAAATTAAGACAACAACAACTTGTAAATTGTAAAATTTATGAAAATAAAAATGGATTAATATTTGATGAAGCATCCATAAAAAGAGACTTAATTGTTCATATATTATTTATGAACTATGGGGAGCAATTTATCTTGTTTTTACCTTTTAGAACAGCCCCTAAGAGCTGCGGTGCAGAGCCATCTCTCAGAGCACGAGGGGCTGGCATTTCTTCTTCCTTGGGGCTCTTTTTCTCCGTAGCCGACCACAGGCAGGGAATGAGGTCTCCGGTGCTGCCAGGGCGTGGACTTCACCTTCCCTGCAGACCTGCTCTTTCCAATCCTGATGTGGGCTCAGGCTTGCGTGTGAGTACTGCCATGACCAAGCCAGCGCTACTTTATAGTAGCTCATTTCATATAGCTGGCTCATTTCTCTCCAGCACATGTAGGCTATGTGACTGGGCTGCACACATTATGGACTCACAGAAGCAATTCTCTCTTCAGTTGCCTCAGTCATTTTTTTTTTTCTTTCTCTTTTTTCTTCCCCTGTATTCCATTCATGCAGATTGGATTTTGGTAGGAATGGTAGCTGAAACCTCTCCTTTTCCTCAGGAAATAGGACTTGGCAATGGCATTCAATACAATAGAAAATGTTCCCGTGCTCCCCCAGCAGACAAGTACTCAAAGGGCCTTCTCATTAGTGAGTGTTGTTGCAGGCAATAATGGCAGGTGTAAAAGTCACTTTGCCAGAGATCAACTTTTGATAAATATATTTTAATTTCTTTATTGAGTTTTAAAGTATAACAACCATTGTTGAATAGGTACAACTGAAAACATGTTAAATAGCCTTCAACTCTTCACATTTGTATTGAACATCATCTCCAGGAGTGACATTTCATGTTTCCATGGAAACAAATTTGACATTTCAAAAATACATTTATTGCTGGGTCACCAAGATAGGAATTCTGAAAGAAAAAAAGGTCAGAATATTTGCCTGTCTCAGAGATATTACACAGTTTGCTGTATTCCTTTAGAGGAAAAAAATATATGGTATCATTGTAAACTAGCAGCCTGCAGCTTAATCCAGTTTGAAAATATTTTGACAAGATGGTGGCAGTGTTACAGGTCAATAAAACGTGTCTCAAGCTCTGGGACTTTGCAAAGTGATTAAAACTGTTTTCTGGATCAATTAATGTTCTAAGGACTTCAGTCAAGCATTTTGTAATTGCAGTAGCCATTCTCTACTTCGTGTTGTAGAAAATAAAGAGAGATTTCAAGACTTTATTTCACATTCTGGAAGAAAGAAAACACAACTTGCTATATTTAATTGGAATTGTTCTGAAGTTTTATCTCAGGTAATGCATTTAATATAAAATAGGGAATTCAGTAATCAGAGCTAAGGGTTGGTACTGAAGAATGTGCGTGTGTATGTAAAAAAAAGAAATACCTAACTTAGTGTTTTATTAAGATGGGTCAAACTGCTCTTTAGTGCTTTAGCTTAGTTTTATAGTGACATACTGTAAAACAAAACACTGATAAAATGAAAGGACTGATTACCAATGAAAATACTAATTGTATAAAGTTGAAATACCAATTTGTTTTCAAGTGATTGACCTTATTGCCGTTTCTACAAGCAAGTAATACCTCTGAGCATGGGGAAAAAAAGTGTAGGTGGAAGGGGGTATCATGATTTTTGGAAAATCCAGCTCACAGAAATGCCATTGAGCAGCCACAGCGCATGTCTGCATGGAGAGGTACGTGCAGAGCTGACCACCCTTGCAGGCTCTGAGCTACCTGGATGCGAGGCAGCCCTGCGTGAGCCCGGTTTGCTCCTGCACCCTGTGACACTGTCCTAGAAAGGCTTTTCGGGTTGCAGACCAGAGCTTGCTTTCGGCTGCAGACCAGTATCT